AAAAAAAGGGTTAGACAGAGACTCCTTATAATTCTAGCAGTAAGGAACTCAAGAGGCTGAGGAAGAATAGCCTTGACTGTGAGGCCAGCCTAGGCCAGTGAGTTTCAGGCCAGTCTGGGCTACAAATGAGGCTGTCTCAAAATTCAACGCCGCACCAATAAATAAATAAATAAGAACACCTTCCATTAAGATTAAATAATACCTCACAAGTACCTACCCCCTTAGAACAGAACATATTAAAAACTCTCAATAAATGCTATTATCATCATCTGTATTCCTTAACACTAAGCAGTGTTTTGTATACAGGATTCAGTAAATATTTGCTGACAGATGAAAAATTAATTTGCATGATAGCCTCTAAGTCATTTCAACTGCTCCTTCTTAAGAAATTTAACTATCAAAAAGAGGGAGGGGGGCTGGAGAGATGGCTCAGTGGTTAAGAACACTGGTTGTTCTTGCAGAAGACCCGGGTTTGAATCCCGGCACCCACATGGCAGCTGACAACTGTAACTCCAGTCCCAAGGGATCTGACAGCCTCTTCTGACCTCCGTGGACACTGCACGACATGGGTGCACTTACCTACATGCAGGCAATACATGAATACACATAAAATAAAAATAATAAATCAAATATTAAAAAAAAATCTGATTAAGAGACTTTGTAAGTATTTGCCACTAATATTTTACAAGTAACTCTCAATTATCTGAAGTATTTTCATCTCATGGGACAAAAACCCATGTCAGCACATAGGAGGCCAAGGCAGGAGGATTAAGATGTTCATTTTTGGGGGGCTGGAGAGATGGCTCAGCGGTTAAGAGCACTAACTGCTTTTGCAGAGGACCCAGGTTCAATTCCCAGCACATGGCAGCTACAAACCATCCTTAACTCCAGTTCCAGGGGAATCCAACTCCCTCTTCTGACCTCTTCGGCACTGCACGACATGAGTACACTCACATACATGCAGGCAATACACTCATACACATAAAATGTTATGCATATGAGTGTTTAAGTGCACCATGTGCATGTAGTGCTGGTAGAAATCAGAAAACCAGAAGAGGGCATCAGATTCCCTAGAACTGGAGTTAAGGATGGTTTGTAGCTGCCACATGGGTGCTGGAAACCAAACCCAGGTCCTCTGCAAGAATAGTCAGTGCTCTTGCAAAAATAGTGCTCTTAACTTCTGAGCCAGCTTTCCAGTCCCATAAATGAGGTTTTTTCCCAACCCCAGTAATAGTTTTTTTTAATATTTTATTTATTATTTTTATTTTATGTGTATGAGGGTATTGCCTGCATGTATGTAAGTGCACCTGTGTCATGCAATGCCTGCAGAGGACAGGAGAGGCCGTCGGATCCCCTGGAACTGGTGTTACGGACAGTTGTTAGCTGTCATGTGGGTGCAGGGATTCGAACCCAGGTCTTCTGCAAGAACAGCCAGTGGTCTTAACTGCTGAGCCATCTCTCTAGCCCCAGTAATAGGATTTTTTTTTTTTTTGGTGTCTTTTTGAAGCAGGGTCTCCCTGTAGCCCCAGCTGTCCTGGAACTCACTATGTAGAACAGGCTGGCCTTGAACTCACAGAGATCCACCTGCCTCTGCCTCCCAAGTGCTGGGACTACAGGTGTGAGCCACCACACCTGGCTCGGCAATAGGATTTTTAAGCTAAGAGTAGCACCCTGATTTTGTAGTAGCATAGTAGTAGGGTAGTAGCATCTCACTACCCTAAAAGAATTTCTTGTCTGTATGACATCAAGTGACTAGCACTGTCATATAATTGCTTCTTACAATCTCATTTATCAAACCAACTGTAAGCAATGGTGGCATCTCAGAATGCTAGTGTTTTTCCACAATGACAGGTGTATATAATAGGAGGTCAATAATAATTTGATTATGTGGTTAAACTGCTTCCAACCACGGAGTTAGCATGAAGAGGAAATTCCAAATCGCCCAAACAAAACTACCACATTCTAAAGTGAGACAGTGCTTGGATTAACTGCTATTCTATTATTCATGCTTCCATTTCCCTTTCAATGAACATTGAGTCACGAGATTACACACTTAAATCCTAGAAACCATATAGTATGGTACCTACTCACAACATGTGTGTGTGTGAGAGAGAGAGAGAGAAATATCAGTTAGATATAAGATCTTAGAGCTATCAATCTAGTCAGTAGTAAAGAAAAACAATTTCGCAGGGTTGGAGAGATGGCTCAGCAGTTAAGAAAACTTGCCGTTCTTGTAGAAGACCTGATTCCCACTACCCAGGTAAGGCAGCCACAACCACCTGTATCTCTCTCTCTCTCTCTCTCTCTCTCTCTCACACACACACACACACACACACACACACATAAAAAAATTAATCTACTTTATTTTATGTATATGAGTGTTTCGCCTGCACCGTGTCATGCAATACCCAAGGAGGTCAGAAGAGGGCATTAGATTCCCTGGAACTGAAGCTGCAAATGGTTCTTAGCCACTATGTGAGGTCTGGGAACCAAACCCAGGTCCTGAGCAAAAACAGCCAGTGCTCTTAACCCCTGAGCCATCTCCAGCCCCAAATCTTTTTTTTTCCCCTCATTTAACACAAGAAACTGAACCTCACAGTCTTGCCCACAGTCACTCGTTAATGGCAAGCCAAGCATGGCAGTTCACACCTGTAATCACAGCACTTAGGAGGCTAAGACCAGACTGCCACTGTGAGCTATTCAGTGTGACTTCCAAACCAGCCTGTCTTAAAAAAAAAAAAAAAAAAAAAAAACAGGGCTAGGGAGATGACACAAACTTGAGAGCCTAAGCTTGGATCCCCAGGACCCTCTATAAAAAGCCAATGCTGGAGGTTGGATACAGGAGAGATGGGGGACACATGGCTCACTGGGTCTAGCCAATCAGTGAGGAGCTCCACGTTCAGTAAGAGATCCAGTCTCAAAAGATATGGAGGAGAGCCCTAGTGGAAGACACCTAAGTTGATTCTTACCGCCATACACATGTACAGCCAGCCACACTCCCACTCAAACATGTGCACCCAAATGTATACGTCAAATACAGTAAGTAAATAAATAAAGTTAATGGCAGTACCAGCCAAAGGCCTGATTCACTTTTTATGCTGTTCTATGGAATCAATTTAAATATAACTAATTCTTCTATTGCAGTAATACAAATCCTGGTTCAGGTGAGCTGGAATTTAAAGTTTTCATTAAACAGAAATTCTGTTTATGATAGATCCACATGAGTAATTACATTAGAATTATCTGATATTATTGGTTTGTCTGCCTGAGACTATCTTAAGGCCAGACATAGTGGCACATGCCTTTAATCCCAGCACTCGGGAGATAGTGGCAGGCAGATCTCTATGAGATTGAGGCTTACTTGATCTACATAGAAAGTTCGAGGCCAGCTAGGGCTATAGGGAGACCCTATCTCAAAAAAAAAAAAAAAAAAGATACCCACACTATTTCAGTGCACAGAAGCTGATGCTATTTAATTGTTCCTTGTGGTGAAGAAAAAAGGATTCTAGTGCTAGGTGGCCCTTCCCATTTTGTGTCTATTTATAAACTTGTGACATCTTCAACAGCCACCTACTGATTTCCTTAGCTGTAACCACCAATGTGGACTGTAAGATGGTCTCTTGGGGGCTGGAGAGATGGCTCAGGGCTTAAGAACACTGGTTGTTCTTGCAGAAGACCCGGGTTCGAATCTCAGCACCCACATGGCAGCTAACTGTCCACAACTCCAGTTCCAGGGGATCCGATAGCCACTTCTGTCCTCCACAGGCATTGCACAACACGGGTGCACTTACCTCATGCAGGCATAACACTCATACACATAAAATAAAGTTAATAATAAAAAATGGTGAAATGTTATTATTTGTGTCATACTGCAATGAGGCTCTCCTTTCCTGGGTTTTCTAAAGTACATAATGAGTTCCAGGACAGCTGGGGCTACAGGGAGACCCTGTCTCACAAAGACCAAAAAAAAAAAAACTCAAGCTAGGCAAAAGGATGCCTCCAGTTTGAGGCCAGCCTGGGCTATATAGCAGATCCTATCTCAAACAATTATATTTAGACTTCAGGAAAGCCCCACAACATAATCACAAATACTGTATGTGTATTATAGCTTCAAATGCTGCCTGCAACTTTTTCAAGCTTTAGGGCTCCAAGTCATTTGAAGTTATGACCTAAAAATAAGGTTCTTTACAAACTGACCACAGGAAGTGAAGGGGGAGGGCATGGTTTCAGCACCAGGTAAACAGCAGGGATTTGCAAATTACAAAAGAATGGGGTAAAGACAGTAAATTCTGCTCTTGACTACAATACGCATCGCCAACAGAAGCCGAGTTAACTAACCCAAACACTGTCTACTGCTCAACAAACAGGAGATCTTTAAGAACTTATATGCCAACCATGTTTCACCTTTCAGTGGGTTGCTACGAATAGTCCAAGTCGAAACTGATGGCAAAAAAACAACCCTCAATTCCTTTTCGGCGAGGAACCACTCGGCATAGAGCATCACACAAAGACAGGAGAGCAAACAGAACCACGCTCCTAGGCCTCGGCGGACTGCAGCCTAGAGCCAAGGTCTTCAGCCCCAAGCTCCCGAGACGGGGAAAGAAGGGGTCGGGGAAAGAAGCGGAGGGGGTGGGGTCCGCTTCCTCGCGCACGCGGCAGCAGAGGCAGGAAGGGCCTCTGCAACCCAGCCGGCATCCGCTCCCCAGGCCGGCGACACCCCGGGCCCGTAGCAGGCCCGGCCCTCCTACCAGGCCCGGCCCACCTCCTCACCTCCCGCACGTCCTGCAGGCACTCGAGCACCGCCAGGTTGTTGCTCCAGGTGTGCTTGGGGCACACGCGGGTCACGTCCTCCCGGCAGGATTCTTCCTCCGCCAGCTTCCAGCCGCCGCCGGTCCCACCCGGGCCCGCTCCGCCCCGCCGGGCCGGGGGCCCACCCGCCGGGAAAAGAGGCTGTGGAGGCTGAGGCGGCTGCGGCGGCTGCTGCTGCAGCGATAGCTGAGGCGGCTGAGGCGGCTGCTGCCCCGCCGGGCTGCCGCCTCCACCCTGCCCGATTAAGGACGCCAAGTTGGGCCCCGGGCCCGGGCCCTGACCGTGGCTGCCCGGGCCCGGGGCTTTCTGGGCTCCGGCTATCGCCAGCAGCAGCAGTAGCTGCAGCGCCGCCAACAAGCGGAACATCCTCCGTACACGTCCACACGCCGCCATCTTGGGTCCGCGGCGAGCTCGACGCACCCGCCGGCGCCGCGTATCTAAACGAGGGGGCGGGGCTCGCCGTGAGCCGGCGTGGCTGCGCGGAGCCCCTCCCCCAGCGGGCGCCGAGTGCGGAGCACTTAGCTCACCCAGGGTGGAGGCCGAGCTGCAGAGCGCCCACGCCCTGGACCTGGCAGGCGGAAAAGTGGCGTTTCTTTACCCGCAGGGTTACAGGGGTTGCTTAGGAAACCTGGGCAGAGGCACAACGGCCTAAGTCCTTTGGTTGCCATCAGGGATAAAAGAAGGAAAAAAGAATTGGGCTTGGGTCGCCTGTTCAATGACTTAAGGGGGGAAAAACGGTAGAGTTGAACTTAATACGACCAGGTGTATTTCGGTAATCTAAGAGCATCATTTTTGCATCTGTCCTTCCTTCCTTTCATCTGACTTTAACAAAATCTTTCTTAATAAACAAGGCGGGTAAAGGTTAAGAGTACATAGGTCATGACCCCTTGCTCTTTGGTCCATCTGGGTGAGAGCTCAAATGTAAAACTGTGTAGATGTAAAAAAGTAAATATGGGCTGGGCGTGGTAGCCCACGCCTTTTATCCCAGCAATCGGGAGGCAGAAGCAAGCGGATTCATCTGACTTTAACAAAATCTTTCTTAATAAACAAGGCGGGTAAAGGTTAAGAGTACATAGGTCATGACCCCTTGCTCTTTGGTCCATCTGGGTGAGAGCTCAAATGTAAAACTGTGTAGATGTAAAAAAGTAAATATGGGCTGGGCGTGGTAGCCCACGCCTTTAATCCCAGCAATCGGGAGGCAGAAGCAAGCGGATCGCTGAGTTCAAAGCCAGCCTGGTCTACATAGTGAGTTCCAGGACAGCTGGGACTACAGGGAGACCCTGTCTCAAAAAAGACCAAAAAGAAAAAAAAAAGTAAGAAGTAAAACTGACTAAAATCTGAGGAGGTTCTGGAGATGTAGGTCAGCTCCTAGAGTACTTGCCTAGCATGCAGAAAGCCCTGAGTTGGATTGCCAGCACTCTATAAATCGGGTTTGGTGACACATGTCTGTGATCCCAGCACTCTAGAGGATGAGAGGGAGTATTAGAATAAAAACAAGGAAAGTATCTGGCCCATAATACAAAACTCCTGAAGTTATAATCAGTAATACTAATAAACTGTGAGGCCTTTTGCCTAGAACACTTAGTTAAGAACCAGAACTTGACTTTTTTTTCTTTTTTGGCTTTTTGAGACAGTCTCACAATGTAATAACTTATTATGTAGACCAGGAAGACCTTAAACTCACAGAGATATGCCTACCTCTGCCTCCTGAGTGCTAGGATTAAAGGCATGGACCACCATGTCCAGCTTTAGACTCATTTAAAGAATGAAAAGAAGTTAACAAAACACACACAGGTTAAGCCTGCATGCATGCAACATCACTTCACCACACACTAGTGACCCATATTTCTTAGATGAGAGATCTTCACAGAGCCTCTTTATATCCAGTGTGTCAACTGAACCAGCATCACAAAGGTTAGGCTCTAATTCAACTGAGAATAACTTCCTGTATAGAGGAGACATTAATGATTCTACAAAGAGGGATTATATGAACTGCTCAGAATGAGCTCTGCCAGTGTATAGACAGCCTCCAATCAGAAAACTGGGGTCTTCCCAACCACCCTGGTACATTTTTATTCCACTCTGGCAATGCAGTATGTTGGAAAATTGAGGGCAGCTGGTGACATGTAATTTCTACTAATCATCATGTACAAAACATAGCTTTTTATTTATTTATTTATTTATTTATTTATTTATTTATTTATTTATTTATTTATTTAT